GTGTGTGTAAGTTTGTGTATGTAAAAGTGTTGTGTGTAAAAGTTTGTGTGTGAAAGAGATGTATGTGACAAAGTTGTGTGTGAAAGAGTTGTGTGTGAAAGAGTTGTGTGTGACAAAGTTGTGTGTGAAAGGGTTGTGTGTGACAAAGTTGTGTGTGAAAGGCTTGTGACAAAGTTGTGTGTGAAATGAATCTGTGACAAAGTTGTGTGTGAAATGAATCTGTGACAAAGTTGTGTGGAAGAGTTTTGTGTGCCACCAGAGCCAACCCAGTGCCATAAGTGCCACGCCTGCCACGCAAAGTGACGATCCATGTGTTGACAAGTGCCACGCCTGCCACGCAAAACGCCGCGGCGTCCCAGCGCGGCCTGGGAACCAAGCGCGCCACCGGAGCCAACCCAGTGCCATAAGTGCCACGCCTGCCACGCAAAGTGACGATCCATGTGTTGACAAGTGCCACGCCTGCCACACAAAGTGAAGGTGGATGTCACAAAGTGCCACGCCTGCCACGCAAAACGCCGCGGCGTCCCAGCGCGGCCTGGGAACCAAGCGCGCCACCAGCGCCAACCCAGTGCCATAAGTGCTACGCCGTGCCACGCCTGCCACGCAAAGTGACGATCCATGTGTGAGCAAGTTGTATGTGAGCAAGTTGTATGTGAGGAAGTTGTGTGTGAGTAAGTTGCCAACCAAGTGCCATAAGTGCCACGCCTGCCACGCAAAGTGACGATCCATGTCATCAAGTGCCACGCCTGCCACACAAAGTGAAGGTGGATGTCACAAAGTGCCACGCCTGCCACGCGAAACGCCGCGGCGTCCCAGCGCGGCCTGGGAACCAAGCACGCCACCAGAGCCAACCCATGCCATAAGTGCCACACCTGCCACGCAAAGTGACGATCCATGTGTTGACAAGTGCCACGCCTGCCACACAAAGTGAAGGCAGATGTCTCGAAGTGCCACGCCTGCCACGCAAAACGCCGCGGCGTCACAGCGCCATGGCTGACCAAGCGCGCCGCCAGAGCCAACCCAGTGCCATAAGTGCCACGCCTGCCACGCAAAGTAACAATCGATGTCGTCAAGTGCCACGCCTGCCACACAAAGTGAAGGCCGATGTCTCGAAGTGCCACGCCTGCCACGCAAAACGCCGCGGCGTCACAGCGCCATGGCTGACCAAGCGCACCGCCAAAGCCACCCCAGTGCCATAAGTGCCACGCCTGCCACGCAAAGTGACGATCCATGTGTTGACAATTGTATGTGAGCAAGTTGTATGTGAGCAAGTTGTATGTGAGGAAGTTGTGTGTGAGTAAGTTGTGTGTGTGAGCAAGTTGTGTGTGTGTGTGCAAGTTGTGTGTGTGTGGACAAGTTGTGTGTAAACAAGTTGTGTGTGCGTAAGTTGTGTGTGAGTAAGTTGTCTGTGAGCAAGTTGTGTGTGTGTGTGCAAGTTGTGTGTGGACAAGTTGTGTGTAAACAAGTTGTGTGTGAGTAAGTTGTGTGTGTGTGCAAGTTGTGTGTGAGTAAGTTGTGTGTGTGTGTGCAAGTTGTGTGTGAGTAAGTTGTATGTGTGTGCAAGTTGTGTGTGTGTGCAAGTTGTGTGTGACTAAGTTGTGTGTGTGTGTGTGCAAGTTGTGTGTGTGAGTAAGTTGTGTGTGACTAAGTTGTGTGTGACTAAGTTGTGTCGGGAGAGGAGGTGACGGGAGCGGGAGGATCGGGAGGAGGCGGACGGGATGCAGAACCAAAAACAAGAACCCCACACAAAGATGTGGAGAATGAAAAAAAACTGATATATCGATATACCTCTACCATCCTCTACTATCGTCTACCTACCTTACTTCAGAAACCTCAAAAAAGTGGCTGTGGTGAGGTAGAATCCTTGCCCAAATATCCGAGGCAAAAAAAACAGAGAAGAAGACAACCTGAATGTTTATGACAACATGTCATTGAAATTTCTTCGTTGCGATCAATCAGTCCTTAACAGTGCAACCAAGAAGCGGAAAGTGACGCTCCGGCGCGCTTTGGGTGCGCAGCATTTTCCTTGTGGGCATTCGAAACTTCGATGAATGTGTGCTGACAAGTCGTGGCACTGACTGTCCTTTGCGGCAGCATCTGCGTCGAGGTACTGACCAAGCTCAGGCGCGCTTTGCGCCCGCTTCGGAAGCGGGGGGCCCTTGGCGCCATCCTCCACCTGCACCTGGATGAACGTGTGCTTTAGCCTGAGTTTGCAAGCAGATTGGTTTCATGTTGAAGCCTGTCGGAAGATGTACACCGCTGTGATAGTAGACGGTTCAAGAAAAAAAATGTCACCCCCCCTAGAGGGTCCCACAGAGTGGTCCCCCACCTCGACTAATTAAAATATTAATCGAAGGGTCCCTACTTCTTCAGAGTACCTCTATTAATTTGCTCGGCGGCACTTCCTCTCCCCACCACCTAAATTAATTTCAGGTAAATTATTCAAGAGTGGTGGCACTACCATTTCTTCTTGGGTCAAGGGGACCCCAAATAATTTCTTCTAATTAATTGGGGTGTGGTTAGCTAAATTATTTGAAGTAGGTGTGAAGGTATGTAATGTATCTAAAGTTTCAGGAACATGGGGGTTGTTCAAAATTATGGTGCCCGAAAACTGCCCGTACACCGCCCTTGGCCTTGCACCACTGCAGCAAAACACACACATCCATAACTGCAGATGTCACTCGGAAACTGCACTAATGTCATTACAATCATTGGGTCTTGTACTAGTACACCCACCCCCAAATTAATTTTACGCGTGGCCACGCGAGCTGGGAAAAAGGAAAAACTTTGTTGGCACAAAAAGAAATAGATTGGGTGTGTACTTGTTCGCGAGGTCTTACTGGGTTTTCAATTCTCATTGCGCACAGTCAATAAGATTCTGTTCCAAACGCGTCTTCTTACTTGTAAATGCCACCCAGTTAGATTTAGTGTCATTACAATCATTGGGTCCTGTACTAGTACACCCACCCCCAAATTAGTTTTACGCGTGGCCACGCGAGCTGGGAAAAGGGAAAAACTTTGCTGGCGCAAAAAGGAATAGATTGGGTGTGTACTTGTTCGCGAGGTTTTACTGGGTTTTCAATTCTCATTGCGCACAATCGACAAGATTCTGTTCCAAACGCATCTTCTTACTTGTAAATGCCACCCAGTTAGATTTAGTGTCATTACAATCATTGGGTCCTGTACTAGTACACCCACCCCCAAATTAATTTTACGCGTGTCCACGCAAGCTGGGAGGGAGAAAAACAATGGTTGGTGATATGAGAAATTAATTTGGGTACCCCCAACTTAAATTAATCCTCGAACAATAGAGTTCTCGAAAAAAAACAAATCAAAATTAATTGAAAATAATTGGATAACCAACGGTCCACCTGGATTAATTTCGTTAACGGGGCAGTCATAAAAAAAAAGTAGTAATAATAATAATAATAATAATAACGACGGTAGATGCACAGCCTGACCGTAAAATCGTTATTTTTGGCAGATGGTGCGACCCCGAATAGCATCCTTTTTTTTGGTAGATAAAGGTTGCTTTCTTGTTCTTTTGATTGACAAGTTGTGTGAGTTGAGTTGTGTGTGAGCAAGTTGTGTGTGAGTAAGTGGTGTGTTGAGTTGTGTATGAGTGGAGTTGTGTGTGGACAAGTTGTGTGTGAGCAAGTTGCGTGTGGACAAGTTGTGTGTGAGGAAGTGGTGTGTTGAGTTGTGTGTGTGGACAAGTTGTGTGTGGACAAGTAGTGTGTGAGCAAGTTGTGTGTGGACAAGTTGTGTGTGGACAAGTTGTGTGTGGACAAGTTGTGTGTGAGCAAGTTGTGTGTGGACAAGTTGTGTGTGAGCGAGTTGTGTGTGGGCAAGTTGTGTGTGGGCAAGTTGTGTGAAGACAAGTTGTGTGTGGACAAGTTGTGTGTGGACAAGTTGTGTGTGAGCAAGTTGTGTGTGGACAAGTTGTGTGTGAGGAAGTGGTGTGTTGAGTTGTGTGTGAGCAAGTTGTGTGTGGACAAGTTGTGTGTGAGGAAGTGGTGTGTTGAGTTGTGTGTGAGCAAGTTGTGTGTGGACAAGTTGTGTGTGAGCGGGTTGGCGGGAGGTTGGCGGGAGGTTGGCGGGAGGTTGGCGGGAGGCGGCGGGATACAGAACCAAAAACAAGAACCCCGCACGAAACTCAGAAACCCAGAGACGCAGAAGCCAAGAAACCGATAAACCAAGAAACTGAGAAACCAAGACACGCATCTCAGGCCCCAGCGGAGCTCGATCTGGTTCTCTTGCTCGAAGCCGAGAACCGTCTGGCGCCGCGCCGCCGCAGAAGCAGGGATTCGCGGGAGAGGATTCGCTTCTGGAGGCGCGCCGCCGCGGCGGCCGTTCCAACCCACTACCGGTGCGGCGGCACGCGTCCAACCCACTACCGGTAGTGGGTTGGACGGCCTTTCGCCGAAATCCCGAGCCGCCGCCCTCGTCCGCCATCCCGTGAAAAACTAACAAAAATTCAAACTACAAGTAACTACTGGTACAATATGTAGATATGATGGGACGGACGAGCTCGATTTGTCACTGCCGGCTCGGGAGCTCAAAAAAAGTTATTGTCGTGAACAATGGAACAGTTCTTGCAATTGACAGGTCCGACCGTTCAACACCTACTTTCCTTAGATGATATGACGGTTTGTGAAAATGTCTTTGTCTGGTTTGGTTGATAAATCGTAATTCCATGCGTGCCGCTTCATAGTTTGCAGGGGAGCTGCGGGACGAGAACATCGGCGATGAATTGCAAAAATTGTGGGACCCGTGGGACACTATGAATTTTGATCATGTCAAGGCACGGTGGGAAAAGCGAAACACTTGTTTGTTGGAATTTATGGGTATCCCGGCATACCCCCATTTTCAGGCAGACCGGTATCAAAGATATAGTATTCCCTAAAATGGTTTCATTGGATTTTCCAAAACAACCATTTTGGGGATCCCCCATTTATGGAAACCCCCATAGAAAAGATCATGGAGCCCCATCTCCGCTCCTCTTCGTCTAGCAACTCCTTGGAACTCTTCCGCTGCAACAGACGGGAGCCTCGGGGATATGAAGGTTTCCTAAGTCATGGGGGCACCCCAAAATTGATTGTTTATAATGGAAAATCTTTGGGGAAAAAAGGATGATTTGGGGGTACCTCCATATTTTAGGAAGCGGGGATACAGTGGAAAGATGTTGTGGGGATATAATAAATCATGGGGAAATCTTATGGGAATATAGAACCAACGAACCAACAACTGGAAGGAATGATACTTTGGTATTTGAAGAAAACCAACAATGCGTTGGGATTCTCAACCACAAAAAGTAAGGCTGTCAAGTTGATAGTAATTTATATCTCCAATAATTGTTGGGGTTTCTTGGAGATGTATCAAACGAGTTAATCATTCAGACTTGACAGGTTAAACACATTAACATTGCCATAAATGGGACCTCCCATGCAGTTCAAACACACAAAAATGCCAGATTGCTGGTAAAATATCCCATACTATGTGCGCCCGTTATGATTATTTCCCCAAGAATAAGCCGGGTTGCTCCAGCACCCCAGGTATGTTTGGCGGGAAAATGTTCACGAAATATAGGTAAAATCAAGCATTTCTCCTTCTTGTGGCAATCATTTACCTACGCTTGGAGCAACACTGCCCCAAATCTGCCGTGGTTCCTGAAACATGATCCAGTAGTGTGGTAAACGAAATAATAAACCATCCAAGATTTGCCCCAGTTTAGCATTTCAAGGGAACTCAAACTTGTGCCCAAAAATTGTTCTTATTGATTTTCAGAGTGGACCCATGTTGGAGCCCAAGCTCAGGATGACGATTTTTTGTAACTTCTTATTCAGTCCAGGTACTCCCCAAAAAAAAACACGAATTTCCCATTTCCTGCTGGAGTGCCAGCTAGATATATTATCCCTGGATTATATCCTGCTTCAGAAATTTTCCATTTTCCAAGAAATTATATCCAGCTGTGATCTAGAAGAAATTCTTGGAAAACCAGCTGGTATAGCTGGATAGGACCCCGAACGCGCTTCCCGCAGCACCCTCGGACGCAGAGAGGTCGATTCGTCTAAGGGGGCAGCCTCTGACGAACTGCGTCAGAAGGGCGGATTTTGCCCATGAAAAACCCAGAAAAGTGGGGAAATTGAATAGATGATCCCTTGGGAATATCTAAAAATAATGTCATATATAATTATAATCATAATTGTGATCTTCTAATAAATTCCCAGGAATAAAACATAATTGGGAATTGAAAATCATATTTGGTATGATCACTAAAATAATCATAATTGTGTTTTTGAAACACGCATACAAATAACCTTGCTGATAGTCTGCCAGTAATATGTGTTAAAAAAACAACTTAGACGAGATAATACCTAAAAATGTGCTGCAGCCCCCTAAAATCAAAAACTACTCAACCCTGGGGTGCTTCTTATTGGGGTCCCCCTTCTGACATCGAAATTTCAAGCTTTTAAAATTAAGGTATTGATGTCGTTAAAAGGAAAAAAATCGAAATCCCATTTTGGGCAATATGGTTCATGAATTTTAACAAGCTATTTGATTGATTCTGAAACCGAAAGTTTCTTAGAAACATGTTTTGGTTTTAGTATTAGGGACAAGTTTCGAAATCCAATTTGTAGCAATATTTGACATGGGTTTCGATACGGAATTTAATCAATCTAATCCACCCAAATAATATATACCCCTTGCTAATAATAACTCTCCAAGTGCTTAATATTTGGGGGAACGTTTAAAAATTAGGGGAATCAGATTATCAATGATTGGATGCAATTTTGGGGGATAACTTGGGATAACTTGCCGCGTGACTGTATTGGCCTGGCCTATCAATCGCACAACCAAATGCTGTTATCCCATCATCCCGGCGTTCGCCGGGGAAAAGGCGTTCGTTCCCGGTGATTTGCCGAGTTCGGTAAATCATCATTCATCATAATAATCTAGATAATCATGGGGCCATCGCTTTCAGTTCGCAAACTGTTAAGAACAAAAAATAGGGCACATGCCCATGGATATTCCATGCAAAATCACTAGTGTTGATAGTGAAATCCCATCAATTCTGCACAATTCTCCCATTTCCTGCAGTTTCCAATCCCCATCCCCACTTCCCCATCCCCATCCCCATCCCCATCCCCCCTTCCCCACCCCCCCTTCCCCACCGTCCCCGTGGTCGTCCCCGTGTTCGTTGAAACCGTGGTCGCCTTGCGCTCGTAGAAGCGCGGGATGGAGCGCAGCGAGGGACAGCGCCGCTCCTGCTGCAGACGCTCCTCCTCCTGGACTTTGTGGAAGGCCAGGTCCTGAAGAGCTCGGATGAAAACAATGGGATTCATCCCGTGGTGAAATGGGTATGGATCAATACCTATTAATACCATTTTTAGGGGGATGAACATCCATTTACCAGCTATTTTGGGGTTCACTAGGTACCAGGGTTTTGACCCATTGAACATCACCCAACCATTAGGTATATGGTCAATGCCATGGCTACTATAAGGTGATGTCCAATATACCCAAAATGGGACAGTTACCAACCCCTGAACAATGGGATTCATCCTATGGTGATATGACGGCCGGCACTGGTGAATGGATTATTTTCTAAAGTTCATTCATGGATTATGGATTCATGGAATTCTAGTGAACAATGATTAATGATGGTGAATGATGGTTAATACTGGTGAATAATGGTGAATACCTCCGGTGATCAACCATGGCTTGCTGGAAACTGCACCATGGCTAGCTCGGTGATTTTCCCAAGGTTGGTTGTTATTACATAAAGCCACGAAGATAAAATGATCGATCCAATCATACGCCATCCGATTAACAGGCAACTTGAGGATCATTTACCCTCTGGTAAATTAACATAGACCCTGGCAGATAGGGGTTGGAAGATTAGTTTCCATTAAAACTAGGCTATTTTCAGGGTCAACAAGTTAATTTACCGGAGGGTACATCATCCAGTAAGAGAAACCACTGGCTGAATCATTGCAACTCATCTGAAACTCGTTGAAAAGTTTGGCCATGACTGGGGATGATTCCCCCAAAACCCTCCGGAGATTTCACACCTTGCTATGACAATTCACCTGTTTCATAGGTTGACAATTACCATAGGGGTAATAAATATATTAGACACACAGGCCATGGGGATAGGCTCGGGAATTTTATGGGGGTGTAATAGAACAAATACTATCTCATGCAAATATCATATGATAAAAAATGATAGATTAATTGACATAGGCCATTCATTATTTGAGGATCTTTCATTCTTGAGGATATAGGTAAAGTAATGGGTATCCACTGATAACAGCCTCATCTGTGCCCCGGTCATTGCTGGCGTTGTGATGCTATTGATGGCATGGTAAGTGGGTATCTACTGGGAATATATAGAGATGTAGGGTGGAGATTCTTGTGATAGCAATGTCAAATTGCTCAAATAGTTGGGTATCTAATAGTGGATGGTATCTCATGGGCTGTGGTAACCCATGTAAAACTGGATATCTAATGGGCTATTGTAATTCAGTATTACATTTGTTCAGCAATGCATGTTTAAAGTAAACTGCCGAGACAATTAAGGGACTCAACTAGGGACAATCTATGGCGATTTAACCATCAAAGTTGGGGATTTGTCCAATGAATGACGAATATGAAGCGATTTGGGATACCAATTTGATGGGATATAATGGGGATATGACTATGATGGGGATTTCTTGATATACTATATAATACAACCAAGAATTTGATGATATTCCTGGGTTTGCCCAACCTGTTGAAATACTGATTGATAAGAAACTCCATTCCCGTTCATTGGGATAATGACAATCCCCATGTATAAAGGGTAGTTCTTTGTCCCACAGACTAGTCATCAACAAACAGAGGTGTTGCAGCCACTGCTCAATGGCTAGTCATGGGTCAAGAATTTCGAGCTGTTGAAACTGCGTTCGAAACAATGGCTTCGATGGCCCTAGAACTGGAATTCTAATGCGTACTCGGATAATTGTGAAGATAAGGAACCAAACTTCGTGCTCGAGCTCGACATGAGCGGATCTTTTTCCAAGTCGGATCTCAACGATCGATTCTGAATGTCGGATCACCGATTTTCCCCTGTTCCATGTGTGTTTCACCAAAATCAGGGGAAAGGCATTACTGGCGACTGAACGGTGGATTCTGGGCAATTTATGAACTGAGTAGAGCAATGTAGCTCACTTCATTTGATTGGATTTCCTTGCCCAATGAAAAATCTGAAACATCATCCAAATGGGACGAAGGAGACCCCTTCGTCTCCTCGGCGACTTCCATGTCGTTTTCGCTGGGCATGTCGCACCCCTTGGTATAGCCTGGTCGAAAGGTCGAAATCCCATGGGAATTCCCTGGCTTTTTCACAGAGCTGAGATTTATCATCCCCCCAAATAGCTGCTATTTATGGGGATTTCATAGCCATGTGGGTCTGGGTCAAAAATGGAGACTGAAAAAGCTTGACCTGGCAGGAACTCTGCAGAAAATTCGAAAAAGTTCAGGAGCCTCATCTCAAATAGGGAGATGTTTATTATCAGACGGTAACCCCAACAGGATAAAACTTTGGTATGTCTTGTGCTAAATCCAAAAGCTTTAAAGGATTTTAAAGGCTTTGGTTGGTCTTGTGTCTTCTCAACAGGACTTGTATCAGCAGCGCGGGACATCAGGGCTGCCTCTCAAACGACTCAGCGCAGTGGTCAACGTCATGTGGCTGGCCACATGGGGCCGTGGACGGCCCCTGAACGCGGCAAGGCGATCGGGGGTTTGATTCAACCTGGATTTTGGGGGTAAAAACTCATAGGGATGTGTCAAGACTGTGACATTAGAACATCCATCAATCCCACCGTTACAAGTCCAACTTCTTTTTCTCCGCGATTTTCAGCCCATACCGTGTCTGGGTCTTCTGGCACCGTGAAAAACTCTGAGGCACCCCGCATGGTCGCTGCAATGGGACGACCAACTACTTCGGCATCATCTCGCGATCTGCCGACGCGGCAGATCAGTCGCTTCCTGTGTTCGAAAGCAACTGAAAGTGCGAGTTCGCAACTGGTGTTTAGGCGCTGATTTTTAATGTGTCACTATGATAAATGTATGGGTTAAGTCTACTTGGATGGAAAGGCTTGATTTTCTTGTGCACTGCTCAAAAAGCTGATGCCAATGATGCATTGCAGTTCAACTTGGCCCTGTGTCAAGGTCAGAGAAATCGATACGGGTATGAGCCCTACCAATCTGTTTCAGAAATTTGGACAACAGAATGAGTCTACTCACCAAAGAAATATAACCTGGAAGATTATTGTCGCATTTTGTCAGAACAGTCGCCTTACATGATTGCATCGTAGAACCTTGATCATTTCACATGTCATACCAGCCATGATGTGTCAGACAGCTGAGCCAGCAACGGAACGGCGTGTGCGGGGCCATCGGGAAGGATTCTGTTACTCCCAATCGTGGGTAGAAAAAAGCCACCTTTTAATCATCTATCAACCATCATTCATCAGCTATATCCAATTTCATGGTCCTAAGAAAAAAAACACGGTTCTTGGCAACATGTCGCTCAACTCACACACGTAGTTCATATTCTTCTGCGAAAACCATGTCAACCAATGGACCCACCAATGGTTTATTTCATCTGTGGATCTTGAAAACACTTTTAGACATATACTACTTGGAGGGAATCTTGAGGTATTGCTACCTCTCTGTATCTTACACTTCTACATTTGCGAACTAAGTCGAGTGAAGAGTGATGACTATGGCTCAAAACTCTGGTAATCAAACGGTACCCTAAGTCATAGGTGGTGGATGTTTCTTCCCCATGGTAAAAATCGTTCTATCTCAAGCTGCACCTTGAATCCCATGTGATCAGAGATTTGGGTCCCTCCATTCTGAGTCCTAACGATCCGATTTGCTTGGACTCGAGTTTGTCGGGTACCCAAATGAGGTAACCTCACATGGCGTACTGGTACAGTCTCGGCCGTGACATTTGTACACTGGATCCCCTAAAAAAGCGTTTAGGTAAATGCATGTCCCATTGAATCTTGCAATTCTTGAAGTTTTAGCATGAATTGAATTGTAGTCATGGGAATCATTACCATTAAATTCCCATTTGATCAAGTTCGGATGAATTTAAGCTCCAAAACAAGACCGCCACGACCTTCGCTCTGGCCACGCCCAATCGACCATCTTTTCCTGCAGTCTGGAAGGTGATCCGAATTCAAAATCCGGTACACTGCACTGTTCTGTGGTACTATACCTGTAAAAAATGCCAATGTGTAGAGAATGTCAACAGTAACTTCACGGATACACCCAAAGAACGTCGAGGATATCATCAACCAAAATAAAATGAAAAGACATCGGATTATGACGTATATATAATCATTTATATAGAATATACAGTGTATGCATAGATAATCGTAGTTATAGATGATCATCGACTCTTGCAGATTACTCAAGATTATTCTCAGTTATCGGTTACTGTATCGAGATTATCAAGTTGGTTTCATAGCAAAAACTGCACCAAAGAAAAAAAGGAACGTCCAACCCCACCAGCCAGCCATTGGTTCCTACTGTGGCAAACCAGCAATCAAACCAGAAGGACAGACCCTCGATTGGGGGCCTAAGTCATTTAAGTCATTTGGCTGTGTCTGGAAATGGGCTGTGCCATGGTATGCCCCAAAATTCGCCAAACTTTTCTTGGAAAATCAACAAGTTAACCACTGGATTCAATGATACCAAAGTGGCTGAAGATGATTTTCCTATATCATCCCATGATTCTTCTCAGACAAAGCCATTTGAGCCAGCACGACCAAGTTGAAAAGGGTTTCCCAAACCCATGGATGAGTTCATAATCCAAAAAATAACAGGTAGATAACCATAGGATAGCCATAGGATAGCCATAGGATAGCCATAGGATAGCCCTGTAGATTATGACAGCGCCTGGCCAACCACTGGGTGCCCCCCGCCAGGTTTGGAGTCCGATCCCCGGACCGGTCGGACGGACATCCGGCCAGAAATGGGGCGATGTTTTGAAGCGACCCCCTTTGGGGGTGCTTGCTGCTGATCCATGAAGTCGGGAGGATCCAAGAGAATCTAAGAGAATCTGGGAAGATCTGCGAATAGTGGATCAGTCTGGAAGAAATTGGGGTTTATGATTGGAAAATCGATCAAAAGAACTGGTCGCTGACAGAATGGGTGTGTTCAAAAATATGGGTTTCCGCATTCCATCACATGTTTCAAAGCCTCATTTTCCCGATGAAAAAACGCCAAAAAAAATGATAGATCCCCAATTTTTCGAACGCAGACATTGGGGGTGGGCAACTTTAGAAAACCCATCAAAACCCAACAACAAAATAAGCTAAATCCAAATAACCTTGGTGGATTCAAGAATTGCCAGGTAACCCAACCAGTTGGATAATCATACGGCAGCTATGAGGCCATTGATTTGATCACTCGGTGGCCCTTCATTGGCGAAGGCGGGCTATCGGATTGGCGGTGGTGGTTCTAAGATGTTCTAAGTCATGTACTGGATATCTTACATGGAGGGTTGTTGCACGGTTGAAGTGTGCCTCTTTTATGGGTGAGACACTTGACGGATTTTTTTTTTCGGACTTGATGATTCCAACTCCCCCAACAACAAAATCAGAAAACAAAAATAATGGTGGTTAAATCCCCTATTCGTGTTGTTTTTTCCCTATCTTTACGCAATCACTACCTTTTCAAGGGGATTGGACGTACCCAAAATGCCAGACACAATTTAAACGTTTTTGAGGGAGGGGGGCCTGGTAAATGTCAGCAAACATTTATTTTTCTAACTACGTTCTATTTGCAAAATCTCATTTAGTAGGTCCCCTCATTCTTAAGGGATTCTATTTATTTTCTTAAATAACGCAGGGGGGCGTTCAAAATGTAAGATTGCATTTTTGAAAAAAATGCAAAAACAATGAAAACAACTGTAAATTATTGTGTGAAGGTCTGCAAATAGCTGCAAATTTGCAGAAAATCAAAAATGCAAACTAAAAGTTCGTAGGACCCCAATTGTTTGGTATTCCAAACGTTCTACACTTTTGCGGCGCCTTTTTTATCATTTCCACATGTAACATAGAGGTATAGAAGGTATATTATTCTTTGCAAAGTACTGGAAAAATCATTGAACTTCAAATAAATGTAAAATGAAATGTTGAAGGTCTTCAAATTTACCTCCTACATGCAGGTGTAACTAAGACGATCATGTAGGTACATAAAGGGAGCTTATCATGGGGGGCCCATAAGGTTTCATGAGGTCGATTTGAGGTCCATTTGAGATCATTTAGGCGCTGAACTGGTGTTTCATATGCTGTGCGAGGCTTCAAGTTTGTTGATCTTAAATCATGATTTATCATCAGGAATTGAAGGCCTCAGGTGTAGGCTGGTTACATTCTTTTTCGAGCACTTTTCTGCAAGGAACTATAGACCTCAAACATGGGTTGATTACATCCCACAAAGACATCTCACAAACAGTTTACAAGCTGCCTGCTGCTTGCGGACATTTAACAATTTTTACCTCCCCCCCTCCCCCCCATCCGTAGTACGGGGGGGAACGGGGGGGGAACGGGGGGGGAAGGGGGGGGGTACGGGGTGACGTATCTATTACGGACATGTTTGGTGGGTATCATGATCATTCGCTTACACTAACCATCAAGAAATCACCTGCAATGAATTGGAATGCATCGATGATCATCACACCTAGTCAGCAGTTCTTGGCGTCAAGTTTCTGAATGTCCTGAATAGGGGGTTCCCAACAACATCTGGGGTTGCAAACCTGGTCATTCTTAATCTCATTCACCCCAATTCTTTTCAACGAGGCACCAATCCTCATGGCAGAGGTGGTGCGAATGCCAGCACCCATCTGAACCTGCAAATGATCCAGCCCTGCGCAACTGTTCAGGGACTGAGTAACTTGTGACTCTGGGCGTTCCTGCCGTCTACTTTTCCCATGTTGCAAGCATCTCCAGCCTTGGGCTCCGTTGTCTGCGGCTCGACGACTTCGGGTTCTGCTAAATCCGCCTGCAGAACACTGGGTCGAGACCATTGGAGACCGAGAGTGAAAGGTACTTTTTGCGACTGCCACATGAAACTGAGATTGTAGGCAGGTTCGCAATAAAAATATTCGAATCCAAATCCAAAAATTTGGCAACGATTTAGTACCTGTTGATATTAAAGGGAAAATCCTATTCAGATGTCCATTGGGCTGGGCATTATTTTGTGCGCCTCCGTATTACTCAATCAGCCCATTGATAGTCAAATCATGGTAAGTCGCAGAAGAATATTTGTACTATATCTGTCATGCTAGCCCCAATAAAACCAAATAAATGATGCTCGAGTCCCATTTGGGTGTGTTTGAAAATAGTTGTGCCCCCAAATTGCCACTCAAATTTGAGGAAAATTATGATAAGCCATTGGATTAGCAGAGTTTCCTCTCAGTTTCAAGACAAACCCGTTGAAATTCCCATTCAACCTGTTATTTTCTGGAAATAGTGTGCCCCGAACTCTCATGAATCATATTATCACCCCATCAACCCTTGAGGGTAAAGCCAATTTTCATATAATCCTACTTGCTGCGTTTGCCAAGCTGCGTTGCGGAGTCTTTTTGCCCGTGGAACCTTTCGGCTCCACGGGCTTCGCGACTCCCCGTCGCTATAGACTTCCAACCTCGGAATGCTGACATGGTGCTCGCCCCAGAAGAGGGGGAGGCAATAGATGTGGAAAATTGCCCATTCACAGATACGATAACCATGTTGTATAAACCCCATTACATGGTCGAAAATTGTTAAAACAAGTATGTTGTAAAAATCCCTTGCCCCACAAAGTATGCATGTCCCAGAAACTATGGTTGCGGGAATCCGATGGCTGAGGCCCTGGCTGGTGTCCAAAGCGGCGCATCTCCACCAGCCGGAACACCCCGGAGTTCACCCAGTCGCGGCGCAAATTGCCGCAACGGGATCCCTCCGGCGGGGTGCCCGTCTCCTCACTGCCTCCGCCTCCTGACCGGCACCATCCAAT